GGAGAAGATGGAGGACACCCAGAGGCACCCCACAGGAGAAGATGGAGGACACCCAGAGGCACCCACGGGAGAAGATGGAGGACACCCAGAGGCTCCCACGGGAGAAGATGGAGGACACCCAGTAGCACCCAAGGAGAAAGCTGACCAGATCTACAAACACCAAGCTTCCTCTTGGGGAGCTATACACGCTGGGCAAGGAGAACAGCTTTGCCAGCCTCAAACAAATCTGAAGGTTTTTTGGTAAAAGAATAGAAGAGTTGTAAGCTTTCAGTATGCTTTTACATTAACTTGTACTCCAAGAAAACATGAGAAGTGAGCTGCTCTAAAAAATTCTAGAATGTGACATTTTAGAGTGATCTGCAGCATGATCATACATGGTAACAAACAACTGATTCCTTTTTCTTTCTTTTTTTAAAACATTTTATTTTTAAGTAATCTCTACATTCAATGTGGGGCTCAAATTCGCATGCTCCACTGACTGAGCCAGCCATGTGCCCCACGAACAACTAATTCTTATGCATGAACTTCAATCCATTTTTACCACCATATGCAAAAACTAAACCAAAATGGGCCACAGACTTAAATGTAAAACCTAAAACTATGAAACTTCTAGAAGAAAATAGAACATCTTTGTGATCTGGGTTAGGCAAACATTTCTTAGAAATGATACCAAACATATGACCCATAAATTAACAAAATGATAACCTGAAAGTGATTAAATTTATTTATTTATTTAATGTTTATTTATTTTTGAGACAGAGAGAGACAGAGCATGAACGGGGGAGGGTCAGAAAGAGAGGGAGACACAGAATCTAAAGCAGGCTCCAGGCTCTGAGCTGTCAGCACAGAGCCCGATGCGGGGCTCAAACTCACAGACTGAGAGATCATGACCTGAGCCGAAGTCGGACGCTTAACCAACTGAATCACCCAGGCGCCCCGAAAGTGATTAAATTTAAAAGCTCTTGTTCTTGGGGTGCCTGACTGGCTCAGCTGTGGAACATGTGACTCTTGATCTCAAGGTTCTGAGTTCAAGTCCCACATTGGGTGTGGAGATTATGTAAAAATAAAATCTTTAAAGAAAAACATAAATTAATAAAAACTCTTGCTCTTTTAAAGACAATGTTGGGGCGCCTGGGTGGCGCAGTCGGTTAAGCGTCCGACTTCAGCCAGGTCACGATCTCGCGGTCCGTGAGTTCGAGCCCCGCATCGGGCTCTGGGCTGATGGCTCAGAGCCTGGAGCCTGTTTCCGATTCTGTGTCTCCCTCTCTCTCTGCCCCTCCCCCGTTCATGCTCTGTCTCTCTCTGTCCCAAAAATAAATAAACGTTGAAAAAAAAAAAATTAAAAAAAAAAAAAAAAGACAATGTTAAGAGAATGAAAAAAGCTACGGACCAGAAGAAAATATTTGCAAATCATGTATCTGAAGAACTCTCAAACTCAACACGAAAACAAACTCAAAACTGATATACAGTGAAAGATGTACACACTCAACCAAAGACATTACAAATGGCAAATAACAAAAAAAAGGTCAAAATTATTAGTCGTTAGGTAAGTTCAAATTAAAACTGGAATGATATACATTACCACACACCCACTAGAATGGCTAAAATTAAGAAGAATGGCTACACCAAGTATTGGGAAGAACTGGACCTCTCACACACTGCTGGTGGGGAACATAAAATGCTACAACCATTTTGGAAGACAGTCTGGCAATTTTTTACAAAGTTAAATATACACCTGCTTTAAGAACCAGCCACTCCCCTCTGTATTTACTCAAGAGAAACGAAAGCATATATCCATACAGACTTGTACACAAATCTTCATAGCAGTTTCATTGATAACAGCCCCAAACTGCAAATAATCCATACGTTCACCAACTGGGGAATGGGTAAGCAAACTGTGTTATTTTCATACAAGGGAACCTCACAATAAAAAGGAATGAATTGCTGATAAAGACTACATGGAGGCGCCTAGTGGCTCAGTCGGTTCAAGTGTCCAACTTCGGCTCAGGTCATGATCTCATGGTTCGTGGGTTTGAGCCCTGCATTGGGCACTGTGCTGACAGCTCAGAGCCTGGAGCCTGCTTTGGATTCTGTGACTCCCTCTCTCTCTGCCCCTCCCCTGATCAAGTTCTGTCCCTCTCAAAAATAAACACTAAAAAATTTTAAAAATTAAAAAAAGACTACAATACGGATGTTAATTACAGAAGAAGCCAGTCCTCCCCCCGCCCTGAAAAAGTACATTCCATATGATTCATTTATACACAAATTTTAAAATACAATAGGGGCGCCTGGGTGGCTCAGTCGGTTAAGCGTCCGACTTCAGCTCAGGTCATGATCTCGCGGTTCGTGAGTTCAAGCCCCGCGTCAGGCTCTGTGCTGATGGCGCAGAGCCTGGAGCCTGTTTCGGACTCTGTGTCTCCTTCTCTTTCTGACCCTCCCCCACTCATGCTGTCTCTCTCTGTCTCAAAAATAAATAAACGTTAAAAAAAATTAAAAAAAAAAATACAATCTATAGTGAGAGAAAACAGATCAGTGATCTCCTGGATGAGTGGTGCCATTTAGCTGTTAGAGAATTCAGTGAGTAATAATATAATACTACTGATCCCAGGAAAGGGATTTCTTTTACAGACCCCAAAAGATAGGCAACAAGGTAGCAGGTACTCTCTGCCAGGTAGGAGAAAAAGGGTAATTAAAAGCTCCCAAAAACACAAAGCAAAAACTATTTTGGAAAAAACAAGTCAATGTGGCAAAAAACTAGTCTCATCTGGGAAACCTTCATCTGGGAACATTACTCTGGCGTACGCAGGCAGGGAACATGAACCACAGGAGAAAGCTTGGGAGAAGACCAAGCCACAGAGTTCGACAGCCTATGAGCTACAAGCTGAACAGATACAGTTAGAGTAGGGACAGGAAAGGAGAAAGGGCGGGCATCTGGGTGGATCAGTTGTTAGGTATCCAAATCCTGGTTTCAGCTCAGGTGGTGATCTCACAGTTGGTGGCAGTCTGAGCTGGCAGCTCAGACCCTACTTGGGATTCTCTGTCTCTCTCTGTCTCTCTCTCTGCCCCTTCCTTGCTCATGCGCTCTCTCTCTCTCTCTCAAAATAAATAAATAAAACATTTTTTTAAAGAAAGGAAAAAGGCATAAAAGAGTCACAGAAGGAAGAATTTTATGATTGGCAAAATAAGAAGAATTCAAGGTAAGGACACTACAGCTATCTGCTTTTCTATCAAAGTGAACAGTGTGCGGCTAGGTGTTCTGAAATGAAAAAAGGGAAGCACCCCAGCAGACTCATAAGGCCAAGCCTTCAGGTCACTGTGGGCTACTGCTGCAGCAGAATCATGAAGTCCAATCTGGGTGAACAGAGCCTGCAACAAGCCCACAGCAGAGCGCAAGCTCACAGAGGAAAAGCCCCACTCTCTTTACAAGGTTACGACCCAAACCATGTAAACTTTCAACTCTATCACTGATTTCTAAAATCTAAAAATATTCTCATGCAGAGGAAGTAAGACAGCATGGGGAATATAATCAACGGTATTGTAATAGGATTGTCTGGTGACAGATGGTAGCTATACTTTGAGCACAGCATAACTTATAGATTTATGGAATCTAATGGAACATTGTTAACTATACTTCAAAGAAAAGAAGTAAAACTATAATCAAAGTGCTAAAATATGGGAGAAATCGGTTATCTCTGAAAATGTTAGCAACATGGAATTCCACCTATTAACCAGACAAAATAATCTTTAGTTTCTAGTAATCAACACTATTTCATAAATATGTATCCTGGCTCTAGTTACCTACAACTTACAACCTATGATTAGAATGAAGATCTACGTTGTGGAAGAACATGAGAAACGCAGTGTCCAGAGACCTCTACATGCAGTAAGAATAAAGCTTTTATTGCACTCAACAACAAGGCTAATCTTACGAACCAAGAAATCAACTCAACCCCAAATCCTAATTCTATAACCTCTCTTCTCAACACCCACCCACTTTACATTCTCCCCGGCCATGCAAAGCACTTCTACCACCCAGCACATACAGGCTGCATACCTGTTTGGAAGGTAGGATTTGCTCCAGGGTACATGTTGGGGGAATAGGCAGGAGCTGCGGCCGCATAGCCCATGGGGAAACCAGCTGGAGAAAAACAGAACAATGTAATGTCACCACTTAAAAGAGTAACACAATTTTACAACCATGGCTCCTAGACCCAGTCGTTTTTATCTTCTCCACAGACTGACTTAAGGGTATGTATGCTAAGCAGTTTGTCACTAGGTGTCTCCTTTCCTCAGAATTAGGATGGGTCATAATCAAGTCTTTCAAACTTATCAGTTTTATATTCTAGGTTCTCATCATATAATTTATTACTTAGCAAGAGTAATGAGAATGCTGAGAGATCGTGTCGTGAAGGGGCTGTAACTGGTACTACTGACACACGGAAATGGGAAAAATCCAATGTCACAACCCACTTGCAAGCAACCTAATTACAAATAATTACAAATGATGAATCTTTAATAACACTAAACCACAACCACTACTAATTCATGTGAATACAACAAAAACATCAAATAAAACAGTGTTACGGTCAAAATCCTAGTCACCAGGTGTCCACCAGCAGTGAGTAGGGCCTCAGTTACTTGCTCCTGGCCTCTTCACAGCCTAGGGAGCCCTGTAAGGCCCATGCCCAGGCATTCCCCTGACCCAGCTGGCTCACAGTCCAGAACACTCCATTCATGTGACAGCTGGAGCATTAGAAAGCCTTCCTTATATTCAGGGCACAGAACCAATAAAGATGACCCAGATTCACTAGTCTTTACTACTGTCTGTCACAAACTAGTTAAGAAAAGCTGTTACCTTCTCTATTCCTCTTGCCCTCACCTGTAAATAAAGTTGAAATGGAACAGCAGACTTCAAAAGACTGTGTTGAAGAGACTCGGAGAAAGTGTCTCCTAGGGATGTTTAAGGCACTGTAGTTCTAAGAGTAACCAAAGTGAAAAACCACAAGGGTAGGAAGGTAACAAAGGAGAAAACAGAGTACAATTCCAGAAGGAAAATCTTTGTGGGTCTGGCTGTCACCTGTAAAGGTGTGGATAAAGTGCCTTACAGAAACCCCTGCCTTCTCCAGCACAGCTTGGATGCCCTTGGTCTGCTGCATCTCCTGCTCCAGCAGTGGTCCTGTAGGCTCTACGGGTCTCCTTGCAAGGCAGGGGCTCCAGACCTACCACTCCCAAGGGATCCCTACTTGCAAGTGCCCATTTCTCATCTCATATACAATCCTCTGCTTCGGAGTCGCTTTCCTTTCTCAAAATTGATCTTCCTCTACCTCAGCAGAAGCTATTTTGAGTTTCCTTCATAGATCACCACTTTCCCATTTGCCCAATTACTTAGAAAACAGTGTGAGGAGATCAAATGCTTACCAAATTCACTCATTTTGGACATCAAGGACAGATTCAACTTGAAATAGACCTAAAATGTCTATTTTAAAAAGACCAGGAAGGTAGTTTTTAATCTGTGTTCTATGAAACCTGTACAGTTCCTTAGAGGCCTCAACTGTGAGCAGCAGGAGGTCAAGCAGGCTCTGGAGCCTGCCCTCAATTCACCCTGCTGCTCTAACTTACCTTAGTACTATGGAACCACTTACAAATCTTCGAAAGTTTCATGGTTAAGAAGAAAATTTTAAATACTACTGACCTAGATCTTATCAGGTAGGCCTCTACAACAATCCCCTCAAAATCCAATGTCCTCATCTCTCCATAAATTCTACCAGTAAATCCTCCAGGGGCATCATCTGCTCCTGTACTTGTCTTGTGTCTAAGAGGTTCCTGGAACACTACTATTATGTTTGCTTGGCGCTTCCTATCCTAATCTTCTAACAATGAATTATTGTGCTCTAAAATGAAAGAGAATGGGGCGTCTGGGTGGCGCAGTTGGTTAAGCGTCCGACTTCAGCCAGGTCACGATCTCGCGGTCCGTGAGTTCGAGCCCCGCGTCGGGCTCTGGGCTGATGGCTCAGAGCCTGGAGCCTGTTTCTGATTCTGTGTCTCCCTCTCTCTCTGCCCCTCCCCCGTTCATGCTCTGTCTCTCTCTGTCCCAAAAAAATAAATAAACGTTAAAAAAAAAAAAATTAAAAAAAATAAAATAAAATGAAAGAGAAAACCCAAATAACAAGTATTTAAAACAGCATAATTAAACACCAGCAACAGGACACCACACTGGCACACCACTCACACCACCACCCTGACCCAGGGCCCCACAGCGGGACCCCACTTACTCTAGTCCAAAGGTTTCCACTGTACCCACACAAAACCCCCCACATGGAAACCCTTGAAAGGACTGCCTCCCCAGCCCCTCACGAACATTGCTTTAACTGGTCTTGGTTGTAGCACCTTCAGTTTCTTAATTTTTCCAGAAAACTCTAACCTGCAGGGGGGCTCTAATAAATAAGTGGAAAAGCAATGTGCCTTCCTATTCTTATCAATCTTCCTGGCCACAGCACGGTCTTCCTAAAAATGCCCCTCACAGTAAGTACCACAGACTGTTTCCTTCAACATCTAGTCTAGCTCCCTTTTGAGACAGAAACACTAGAAAGCTAGAAATTACAAAACCTAGACTCCACTCTTGTAAAACACTTGGAAGTAATCCCAAATCCTAATCACTTTTATGACTAATCACTTCATGAAAATAAGAAGTTCAGAAGATACCATAAGCTAAATAAAAAAAAAAATACAAAGCAAAAATACTTGCAAATTATACAAAAAGTTAATACTCCTAATATATAAATAATTCTTAAAACTAAAAAAAAAAAAAAAAAAAAAAAAAAAAAAAAAAAACAAACAATAGAAAAAAATAAATAAATAGAAGACACGGATAGAACTGCCAACTACCACTACACTGATCCCATTTCTAACATCAGATTGGCAAAAATCCAAAAGCTGAAAACACACTTTGTTGGCAAGGTTGTGGGGAAACCATGCTTCTGGTAGGAATACAAAACAATAAAAATCCTATGGAAGGGAAATCATCAGTATTTTAAAAATTACGTATGTGTTTACTCTCTCACCCAGCAATCCCATGTCAAGGAATCCACCCTGAGATAATTTCCACAATCAATATAAGCTGCAGTATTGCTGGAATACCAAAATACTTCAAACAACATATCTATCCAAAGAACTAGTTGAATAAACTCTGGAAACCCCACAAGATGCAAGATTACAACAGCAGCATTATGCAAAATATGAAAAAGAACAAGGCAAACCTCTGTGAACCAACATGGAATGACTCCTAGAATATCTTAAGTTGACAAAACAAAGTGAACACTACCACCTGCATCACTATTCCAGAAAAGAACCCCCTGCTCAGCCATGAGGAATATGTGGGCTGACTCCCAGGGCCACTTCTGCCTAATGAGGGCCTCCTCTAACCACCAATCCTTCCCTCACAGCTCTCCCCTGAGCCGGCTAAGACCTCAGCAATGTGTAGCACAGTCCTGAGGCTCTCCCTACCTGATTCTGCTTCCTCTTCATTAGACCTTTCACAAGTATTATCCTCCCTCCCAAAAAGCCTACTTCTCTAATTCTATCTGTGTCCACCACATCTGGTGTAACAAAAAGAGAAATTCAAATACATGGACATATTGGCATGGGGGCATGATATGAACTGAATATGCCCCCTCCAAAATTTGTATGTTGAAACTCTAATCTCCAAATATGATAGCATTTGAAGATACTCAATTACAGTAATCATTTCACAGTGTATACATATATTAAATCATCATATACCCCTTTAAAAAAAACATGTTGTACAACCTAAATATATGTAATTTTTACTTGTCAATCATACTCAATAAAGCTGGCTTGAAGAAAATAAAGCTCAATCAGTATGCTATCTTGCCTCACAAAGGAAGACATCAACTGGACCACTTACAATTCTTATTTATATTTATATTTATATGCAAGTTAGCTAGCATATAGTGCAATAATGATTTCAGGAGTAGAATCCAGTGATTCATCACCTACATATAACACCCGGTGCTCATCCCAGCAAGTGTTCTCCCCAATGCCCCTTGCCCATTTAGCCCATCCTCCCACCCACAACACCTGTTTGTTCTCTGTATTTAAGAGTCTCTTGTGGTTTGTCCCCCTCCCTATATTATTTTTGCTTCCCTTCTCTTCTGTTCATCTGTTTTGTATTTTAAATTCCACATAAGTCATATTTGTCTTTCCCTAATTTTGTTTAGTATAATACTCTAGTTCCATCCATTGTTGCAATTGGCAAGATTTCATTCTTTTGTATTGCCGAGTAATATTCCATTACATATATTTATATATAACATAAACATACATATATCACATCTTCTTTATCTATTCATCAGTAGATGGACATTTGGGCTCTTTCCATACTTTGGCTATTGTCAATAGTGCTGCTGTAAACTTTGGGGTGCATGTGGCCCTTTGAATCAGCACTCTCGTATCCTTTGGATAAATATCTAGTAGTGCAACTGCTGGGTCATACAGTAGTTCTATTTTTAATTTTTTGAGGAACCTCCATACTGTTTTCCAGAGTGGCTGCACCAGTTTGCATTCCCACCAGCAGTGCAAAAGGGTTCCTCTTTCTCCACATCCTCACCAACATCTGCTGCTGCCTGAATTGTTAATTTTAGCCTTTCTGACAGGTGTGAGGTGGTATCTCACTGTGGTTTTGATTTGTATTTCCCTGATGATGAGTAATGTTGAACATTTTTTCATGTGTCAGTTGGCCATCTGGATGTCTTCTTTGGAGAAGTGTCTATTCATGTCTTTTGCTCATTTCTTCACTGGATTATTTGTTTTGTGGGTGTTGAGTTTGATAAGTTCTTTATAGACTTTGGATATTAACCCTTTATCTGTTATGTCATTTGCAAATATCTTCTCCCATTCCATGTGCTTTTAGTTTCGTGATTGCTTCCTTCACTGTGCAGAAGCTTTTTATTTTGATGAGTTCCCAGTAGTTCATTTTTGCTTTTGTTTCCCTTGCCTCCGGAGACATGTTGAGTAAGAAATTGCTGCAGCCGAGGTCAGAGGGGTTTTTGCCTGCTTTCTCTTCTAGGATTTTGATGGCTTCCTGTCTTAGGTCTTTCATCCATTTTGAATTTGTTTTTGTGTATGGTGTAAGAAAGTGGTCCAGGTTCATTCTATCGCATGTCGCTGTCCAGTTTTCACACCATTTGCTAAAGAGACTGTCTTTATTCCATTGGATATTCTTTCCTGCTTTGTCAAAGACTAGTGGGGGTGTCTGGTGGCTCAGTTGGTTGAGTGTCCAACTGTGGCTCAGGTCACGATATCACAGTTTGTGGTTTGAGCCCTGCGTTGGGTCCGTGCTGACAGCTCAGAGCCTGGAGCCTGCTTTAGATTCTGTGTCTCCCTCTCTCTCTGCCCCTCCCCTGCTCATGCTCTGTCTCTCTCTCTCTCTCAAAAATAAACATTTAAAAAAATTAAAAAAAGATTAGTTGGCTATACGTTTGTGGGTCCATTTCTGGGTTCTCTATTCTGTTCGATTGATCGGAGTGTCTGTTCTTGTGACAGTACCATACTATCTTGATTATTACAGCTTTGTAATACATCTTGAAGTCTGGAATTGTGATGCCTCCAGGCTTGGTTTTCTTTTTCAGGATTACTTTGCCTATTCGGAGTCTTTTCTGGTTCCATACAAATTTTAGGATTATTTGTTCTAGCTCTATGAAGAATACTGGTGTTATTTTGATAGGGACTGCCCACCTCCAATTTTAGTACACTGTGTATTGCACTGAATGAAAAAACATTAGGCATGCGGAGACAGGACCACATGGCTGAGAAACAAACAAAAAAAGGGACAACTGACAATAAAAACAGACCCACAGGTGATTCACAGACTGCAGTCACCAAACAAGATCTTTAAAATGACTGTGATTAGTATGTTGGAAAAAAGAGAAGATTGGAGTACATGAAAAAAGTCAATTCAATAAATGCGTTTTATAGCAAACTAGAGAAGAATTAGCAGGATTAGTGAAATGGAAGCAGGTTGGTACAAAATATCCACATTAAAGCTCACAGAGGGAAAAAATGTAAAAGACAAAAAAATGCAGGACACAAGACACAAGGTAAAATGATTTACTACACTTATAAATGTAAGTCCCAAGAGAGAAGGGAGGAGAAACAAAAAAATTCGTGAAGAATCACTGCTACTGCTATTTTGAAGAAAAAAAAAAAAAAAAAAAATCAACCTACTGAGGCGGTTTCCAGTGTTACTGAAACACACACTCAGTACTGTCTATGGCTGCTTTGTTCTGGAAAGTAGGGGTTGTATAGTTTTAACAGAGAGCCACAATGCCTGAAATATATACTACACCTGGACCTTTATATAAAGTTTGCCAATCTCTGCTTTTGGCCAAAGAACAAGAACAAAATTTAGGTATCTTGCACAGAACTGGAATATGAAAGGCAATCAATATTTTATTAAAAAGACTATTAGGGGCGCCTGGGTGGCGCAGTCGGTTAAGCGTCCGACTTCAGCCAGGTCACGATCTCGCGGTCCGTGAGTTCGAGCCCCGCGTCAGGCTCTGGGCTGATGGCTCGGAGCCTGGAGCCTGTTTCCGATTCTGTGTCTCCCTCTCTCTCTGCCCCTCCCCCGTTCATGCTCTGTCTCTCTCTGTCCCAAAAATAAATAAATGCGTGGAAAAAAAAAAAAATTTAAAAAAAAAAAAAAAAGACTATCAGGCAACACTAATACCATAGGGTTTTGCCTATTTCCGTTGCTCCAGATCCACCCAGGATTCTCCTCAGCTATTCGGCATTCTGTTTAAACTAGTCTGATGACTTAAAGATAGTAGGTCTTATTACTAAATTTCTTTTTATCAATTCCAGAAAATTCTGTCACTCCTTTTCTTCTCTATTCGACCTTATGGAGCTCTTAATTCTCCCCAAGTCTTCTCATTCTGACATCTAGATTTCTTAAATGCTCTCCTATAGCCCTCCCCCCTTTCCTTATTTGGCATCCTGGTTCTCCCATTTAGTGGTGTTTTACCTGCAATTTAACCTGAATTTTATTCACATGCCATTCCTTTTTAAGTTCCTTTGGTTCTTTATGGTCACCCCACACACACACATACCCATGTCTAGTTCCCCTCTTATATTCTGATTCTTTCTTTTTGATCTCCAATTATTCTAAACTTGTTTGTGTGATGTGGTTTCTACCTGATGTTCTATTCCTGACGTCTATCATGACTGGTGACTCTTACTTGCATTGTTAACAGGCAGAATTTCGTGGGAAACCCACACAACCTGGAATGGGAACATATGCCTCCAGAGCAGTTCTGCATTTGCTGCTGTCAGGTGCTTAGGGGTAATGAAGGCTGCAGACTACTTTTTATGTTAGTTTCTCAATTATGGACCCCTGGTAAGTCTGGGTAATACAAAGTGGAGCCTCCAATATCTCTGACTGGTTATAAAGTGTTAGGAAGGATTTCCCCCTTCCTAGAGCCCAAGCAGAGATAAAATTCCCTTGTGGAACCAGTGAAAGAACTGTTTTAGTCTACATCTTCCCTGGGAGTATGACCCTCTGGAGGAACAAGATTGGTGTAGGGTCCCACTCCCAACTCTCAGCCTCACAATGGCCTCACTTTCTGTCCCCTTGTGGGATGTTAAAACCAACTAAGAGCACATGCCCCTAAGACAAGCTAATTATCAGCTCAATGGCCAAATGCACTGGTTTTTATGTCACTTTCATATTTAGCTACAGATATTTCGCTCACTACCCTGCAAGTTCAGTTGTACATTTTTTAAATGTTTTATTCAATTTTTTAAAAATATTTATTTTTAAGAGAAAGAGAGAGCATGCAAGCAGGGGAGGGGCAGAGAGAGAAGGAGACAAGGATCTGAAGCAGGCTCCCACTGACAATATACAGCCCAATGTGGGACTTGAGCTCACTAACCGTAAGTTCAAGACCTAAGCTGAAGTTGGATACTTAACCCACTGAGCCACCCAGGCACCCCTAAATGTTGTATTCAATTTTCTAGAGGTTTTATAGCAACAGGATTTTAAGGTTATCTGTTCCACCATATTATCAAAACCCACAAAAAAAATTTAACATTACAAATAATTATTCCTTGGGGTGTCTGGGTGGCTTAGTGGGTTGGGCGACCAACTCTTGATTTTGGCTCAGGTTATGATCCCAGTGTCATGGGATCCAGCCCCGCGTCGGGCTCCACGCTGAGGATGGAGCCTGCTTAAGATTCTCTCTCTCCCCCTCTGCCCCTCTCCCCTACTCACACATGCTCTCTAAAATAAAAAAACTAAAAATAAAAATTAAAAAAAATAAAATAATGACTCCATGTTAGATGTCACCAACTAGGATGACCATGTGCTGTTTTCAACCAATCAGCTCCTAGTCCCCCAAATTTGCTTTACTGCTTCCCTCACAGCCCAAGTTTGACTAGCTGACTCCAATAAGGGAGGAATATGCCTCAGACCTGAATTAACCAGTAGAATCTCCTTCTGGCCCAGGGATGGAAGCTGAGTGCAATCAGAACACACCCCAGGACTGGTCTGAATAGAGAACGAGAAGCCCCATGGGGGGTTCCTATAGAGCAGATGTAACAAGGCTCGTAGCCAGTATACTGGTGGGAGTAGCTGAACACCAGAGAGAGACCACAATGGGGAGAAGTGTAACCCATGACCAATACTGAGCCAATCCTGAGGAAGTGAAGCTGAGTCCAGGAGGCAGAAATCAGATCCCAGTACCACCTGTTGGAGCCACCAGATCAAGCTTTGACCAAATCCAGTCCTACCTCTTGATTTTTCAGTTCCATGAGCCAAAACATTTTCTTCCTTGTGTAACTCACTTTGAGCTAAGTTTGTCAACTAGAAGCATTCTTAGGGACATGGAAATTTACTAAGTGCTCAAAGTTCCGTAACAAAACAAAGTTTTACTTGCTTACCTGGATAACCAATTCCTTTGGCATTTGCATAGGGAACCCCAGAAGAACCAGGGCTATAAACAGGATTCATGATTTCAAGAACTAAAAAGGAAAAAAAAAAGTGATTTAGCCAAGCACTTTTATTCTCTAGTTTTTCTCCAACATCAGTCTCAAAATAGCAGACAGCAAGAGTCCCTCCTCTAGTCTACTAAAAACAAGGCATCTAAGGCTGCTGCCAATCTACTTAGAAAAGGAAGGCCAGAAGTCCTGAAGAGCACCCACCTAATATTGTAAACTTTCCTTCACAGTTTCTTCAGTCCATAGGAAGTTAAAGGGAAAAAGTGCTCTCTACGGCCCTACTTAAACCAGTGAAAAAAAAATCCTTATAATTTAAATGTCCTTATAACAAAGAATAGTTAAGTAAACCAGATCTATTCAGAATATGAAATATTGTACAGCTACTTTTTAAAGTGTTTAAGAACATGACTGACATAATGTTATATAGAAAAAGGAAGGGAATGATGCTGCATTATGTAGTATGATATCAAATCTGCACCCGCACATAGTATAGGCACAGGCATGTGTACTTCCAACACAAGGAGAAAAGATCTGGGAGAATATAAAAATATGAACAGAGACTGTCTCTAGATGGGGTGGGGTTAGTGTTCTTTCTGCACTTTTCTTTGTTTCTTAAATAACTTTTGTTAAATATACATATATTTTCTTAAAAAGAAAAATCAGCTACACCCCAGCAACTCTATTAACCCATTCAATGTTTTTTCACAATCTTTTTCCGTAAAGTTCAACTTACCCAGCTACAACCATGAATTTACCCCTTCCTCAATAGAAATATGATTCTCATCAGTATCTTCAGCAAGCTCCTCTGAATTCTATCACCCAAAGTATTTTCTGAAAGTGAGTTTAATCAAGACTATTCTGCATTCCTCGTCCAGTAAGTCACTCACACAAATTTACATGGTAGTAAGGATTAAGGGGGACCCTAAATTTAAAAATAAAAACACCACAGGGTGGGGGGATGACAGGTAATAGGTATATGGGAATTCTCTGTACTTTCTGCTCAATTTTGCTGTGAACGTAAAGCTGCTCTAAAAAAGTCTACTTAAAAAAATTAATAAAATGTACATGTATTTACTTGTTTAGTGTGTGCCTCCCTTACCACATCCCCAACTAGAAAGTGGCCCCATGCAGACAGCGAACAGGGACTCAGTCCTATTTACTGCAGCACCAATAACAGTATCTGGCACAAAACAGGTGCAAGTACTTGCTGATTTTCTTAAAAAACACATGCACCTTCAAATACTGTAGGTATCAAATTCCATTACAAAGACATATTGCAAAAATTAACTACCTCAAGGTCTCAGCTTACCCGACTCATTTAGCATATTCATAATCAAGCAGTTCAATACAGAAAAAAATATACAAGGTCCCATCCTTAACCTTTGTAACAAGTTCTAGTCTAAATTAGGAATAAATTAGGAACATCTCTGATTTGGATATTCATTATCTGAAAAACTAATTTTTTTTTTAAACTTCTAAACCAAAAGGCAGGTGCCAACTTTACCATGACATTCACAATTACAGGTAAAAGATAAATCTAGATCAGTACAGGCCAACAGTACTCTCTGCAACTATGAGGATGCTCTCTGTGCCTTCCAGTATGGCAGCCATTAGCGAAAAGTAACTACTAAGCACCCAAAAATATGGCTTGGCTACTGCAGGATCTGATTTTTAAATTTATCTGACTCAAATTTGTTTTTCTAAAGTTTATTTATTTATATAATCTCTATACCCAAGTGAGGCTTGAACTCAAGACCCTGAGATCAAGAGTTGCACACTTCTCTGACTGAATCAGCCATGCACCCCTCAACTTAAATTTAAATAGTCATATGAGACTAGAGGCTATCACAGTGAATGACACGTCTACAATACAGATGACAGAAAATAACAGGCAGCCATAGAAAGCAAGCAGGAGAATTACTTATGTATCTTATCCCACAGTTTAAGAATAAGCAAATTGGCAATAAATAAATAAATAAGCAAATTGACAACTTCCAGTCCCTACTGTCCTGCACTTTTAACCCATTCTTAGTGGATGTACAACATAAGAATTGTGGAAACCCTCACAAATTCCATCTATCTCTGTAGCTCAACTATGATCTCTAGAAAGTGCATACCTTCCAAAACTGTTTCTCTATCCTGTGCCAGGATCTAATTTCATTTACTCAACTGAATTCAAGATAAGCAAAGCACTATGCAAAGGCCACAGAGGAAAAAAAGAAAAAAAAAAAAAAAAAAAAAAAAAAAAAAAAAAAAAAAAAAAAAAAAAAAAAAAAAAAAGCAAGTCACAGTCCCAGTTCTGAGTTTACAATCTAGGAAAGTGCTGTCCAATAGAAGTTTCTGTGAAAACATATGACAAGAAAAGAGAAGAAAAGAAAAGAAAAGAAAAAGAAAAGAAAAAAGAAAAGGTATGGCTACCCTATCCACGTAAAGTAGCCATTAATGGCTGGTTAGTGAATACTTGAAATGTGGCTAACACATGTAAGGAACCGCATTTTAGTTTAACTTCAACAGTCACACCTAGGTGATGGCTATTATACTGGACAACCCAGTCCTGAAAAACAAAAAACATGAATAATGGTGATATAGAACAAACAGTAGTAATAGCCACATTAAGAGCCATAAAAGAATAAAGTATTATGAGGGGTGAGGGAGAGAGCAAAAATTCAACAGGTGAGGGGGGGAATGAATGGTCAGAAAAAACTTGGATTACAGAGGTGATATTTCCAACAAGCTCTGGACAAGCAGGATCCCGAAAAGCCATAGAAGTGAGAAAATACAAGATGTACTTTAGTAATACTGGGCAATTGGACTTGTAGGGAATCAGCAAATATGGTTATGGAAGTGGGGCTGAGTAGGAGATGTCATGGAGTAGGCAATGAAGCTCATGAATAGCAAAACAATTTAACACAAGCATTACCATATGATCTGGTAATTCTACTCCTTGGTAAATACCCAAGAGAAACGAAAACATATACATCCACACAAAAATTTGTACACAAATGTTTATAATAGTGTTATTCATAACAACCAAAAATTTTAAATAACTCAATGAAGCACTGAATACCACAAGGCTCTCCTGCCATAAGGATCTCATAGTGTAAACCAGTAACACAATTCTGTACATTTGCCACTAAAAATGTACAGAATTGCACCTGAATTCTCAATACCATAAGTTCCAAACTACTCAAAAGTTACACTTCCTGAAAGCACTTTTACTTCCCCAGAGGCTAATAATGTTTCCTAGAGTGACTGAAAGTCTTTAATGAATTAAAAATTACAGGTTAAGAAAATATAACGAGACTGATAAAAAAAAAAGGTTGCAGTTCCCTCTCCTATTCAATAAAAAGGCCTGAATAATATAAAGACAAAGTCCGTGAACTAATGTCAAAAAGATTCTTAGGTTACTTTTCAAATAATGAGACTTCCCCAAGATTCTGAGGCTCAAGGACAGGGAAAATAATTTTCTCAGCTCTGTCTCCTTGCATTTCATCAATGCTTGGCACACAGGTATCTTATATGTATCTTCTGAATGTTCTTGAATAAAACAACTAATAGAAAATATAACTTTTCACAGCAATAAATGTGAGATTGAGGGGTGCCCGGCTGGCTCAGTCAGTCGAGCATGGACTCTTGATCTCTAGGTTGTGAGTTTAAGCCTCATATTCGGCACAGAGCTTACTTTAAATATATGTATATGTGTATATATATATATATGTATATATATTTTTTCATATATATATGAAGTTGAAATGTTTACTTAAAATATAACTCAGAATTTAGGGGCACCTGGTTGGCTCAGTCGGCTGAGCACGTGATCCTTCCTTGCTTTTGGCTCAGTTCATGATCTCACACTTTGTGAGATTGAGCCTGGCACCAGGCTCTGCCAGGATTCTCTCCTCCATCTCTCTCTGCTCCACTCCTGCTCGCCCATGCTCTCTCTCTCTCTCTCAAAATAAATAAACTTAAAAAATATATAACTCACAATTGTTGAAAACTTCTGTTTACTGATTAGTGGATATGAAAGCCGAACCCACTGGCCAATCTTAACATCATCATCACAAGACAAACTATTTAACACTAACAAACCAAAAGGGGGCATTTTAAAAATCAAATGACCCAATTTCTTCAGTAAGTCAAAGGTCTGGAAAAAGGTAGAGGGGTGGGGAGGGCAGTTCTAGATTAAAATAGATTTACACATAAAAGTCATTAGTGGATTTTGTTTGGATTTTGATTTATATTGAAAAAAACTGTAAAAAGATTTTACAGTTATAAAAATGTCCTCTAGAATGCCCCAACTTTTGGGTTTGTCTGATTGCTTCATGGTGTTGCCCACCCTATTCCTCCAATTTGTCTGTAAACTGGAAGTTGGATGTATAGAATCTATTGATGCAGACTGTAATTTTTTTTGTAGCAGTACCCTTAGGTGATGCAGAGTACTTCTATCACATGAGGATGCACGTAGTGTTAAATAGTTTGACTTGTGGTGGTGATGTTAAGATTGGCCAGTGGGTTTAGCTTTCATATCCACTAATCAAATATAAAAAAATTTTAAGTGTGCACACTCGTTCTCTCTTAAAACTTTTTTTTTTTTTTTAAAGAGGAGAAAGTTCTCAACTCCCTCAAACTCTACTTTCACTACTGAGGTAGAAATTGGAAGAAATTCATGTATTTCTACACAGGAGTGGAAAGACTTCAAAGGCATATACGTAGAGTGGAACACAGATATCAGAAAAATAACTATTACTCTTTTAGGTTAGTGTTCTGTTGTTTTAAAAGTGCTCTCAACTGATCTAGAAAAAGAAGCTGTTTATGTGAGAAATAAAATTTCCCTTTAAACTACAGAACATACAAAAAATTAAAATATTTTTACAACGCACTTAAGTTCTTATTTTCCAATTCTAATCCTCTACCTCTACTACTAATTTTCTCAATGTTTGAAAATCCAACAATTTTGGCATTACAATTCTAACCATAAAGTAGAAATGAGTTGAAAGGCAGGTGTAGAGTAGAACAGTAACTAAAAATCCTAACAAATTTATCACGGCCTGGTAAGAGGGCAGGGGCAGTAAGAGCTACAGCAACAGATGGTGCTTCCTCCTGAGTTGCAGGCACTCGCCTCACACACAGAACCCAATCTTTCCACTATTTCCAAAGGTAGGAGCCAGGAAGAGCGGATGCTACCTGCTCAACACTTTTAGCAATTGCTCCTCAAGGACACCCATCAGAAGGCACAGGCAGCTGGCTCTGTCTTCAACTCTTAAAGCCTGCGGGGACCTCTATCAAATCTTAGCTTCTTCCATTTAGTCACAAACACAACTAAACATTAGTAACATACAAACCCTCCCACCAAAGCAAGCCCACTTTATAAAGTTATAAAGTTTATAAAGGGAAATCTTCACAGCGTGTACTACAGTAGCTTCAGCATTAGGAAAAAGAGCTTTAAATTGTCCAATTGGCTGTCAAAGCAAAAATAATCCATTACTTACTCACCAAAGTTGTAAAATGGATCCCTTTTACTGCTCACAGCAAAAACTTTCAAACTTTTTTACGTATTTGAGAAAATAATCTCAATTACACGATGGCTTGAAAATTTTAAATGTGGAAATGAGACAAACCTTTTCACTTATAATTTTTTCTTGCATGCCACAAACACTCCCGAATATTTTCATGTACGACTTTAATAAAACATTAACTCATACGACCCATTAAGACGCACACTTGAGTACGCTGTAAAAGAAAAATAACGTTTGTGGACATGCTGCAAAGATTCACCTCTTTAAAGTTAACCCAGACTGGGCGACAAAACGTCCTTTCTGAAATTAAAAAGCCTTTCAAGCTGGAGGGCGAACACTAAGCTTCTGCCAGGCACATAGAATCATTTTTACTTTGTAGGTAGACAAGGTGACTAGTTTACACATTCGAAATGACTGCAACCACAAGAATCCCAAATCTAAGTTAGAGAAAACAACACCCTGCTGCCTCCCCATTTTTCATACGTTTTCCTGACCTGATCTAAGTCGGACCTTAAAAAGACCCAGCGAACATTCTTGTGCATGGACTCCACCTCTCACCGGCCACCTGGGCAGCAGCCCCCCACCACCCACACCGCACCTGCCCGCGCGCCAGTCCGCGCCCAGTTCCTCCTCCCTCGGGGCCCCCAGAGGCCCGGTCTGTCCCACCGGACAAAGCACAGCCTGGGTTACCGCCGCGGGTGCCACCAGGCCGTCCCCCCGCCCGGGCACCAAGCGACCCTAAGCCGCTGGCCCGACCTTGGCGCCGCCCCAGGCCGGCCGCACAAAGCGCCGCACTTCCGGCCGGCAGCGCCGCCGCCCGAGCCCGCCGCCCGGGCCCGCGCTCAGCCCCGGGCCAGACAGGGCGCAGCGTCCCGCCCCGCCCCCGCCCGGGGGCGCCCGCCCGCACTCACCGCGCCGCGGCAGCGGCAGCGGCAGCCTGGGCCTTGATGACCAGCGCACGCCGGCCCGGGGCGGGCTCGGCGGTAGGGCTCGGCGAAGGGCGAGCGCCGCGGAGACCTGTTCTGATGCGGGGGCTGAGCCGCGAGGCCCCCGTCTCCGCCGCCGCCGCCTCCCCGGCCCGCGCTTCTAGTCGCTCCGCTCCGCCCGGCCCGCCTCTCCGCAGCCCGCGCTCCCCGCCGACGCTGCGCAGCCACCGAGCCACCGACCTCACTTCCGCCTGGAGCGCGCCGCGGCGGGGACGAGCCGGGCACGTGACTGTATGGCTCCGTCCAGACTGGGGTGGCGGCGTGCTCGCTCCCGCCGGCGTCTGAGAGACGCCCGGATGGAATCTGCGGGGAGCACCGCGTGGTGCGACCCCTGGCTGGGCTACCCCAGGGTCAGTCGTGCGGAGCTTGTAAGGCGAGAAGCCCGAGCAGCTAGTGGCGCCCGTGGGGACGTCTGTGTTGACCTTAAGGAATAGGTGCTTACTATGGACTTTTTCCTCGCGCCATTTTTGCCTTTCTAATGCAATATGGAAAGAACGTATTGGAACATAATTACAGAATTGTACTGATTTCTTAGAAAAAATGCATTTCATTTCGTATTTTTAAAATACGTACGATCCTGCCACTGTACTGCAGGAACCTGTGTGTAAATGCAGAAGGCAAAGGTGCAGTGGTGGTGTGTGACCTGGTCCTGGCTGTGATGCCCAATGGTGGCAACTGAGTAGAAGGCTCACTCAGCACCCCCAGCCAGGGCTGGTGTGGTGGCGTGCAGGTGAAGTGCTATCCCACAGAGCGGCATGGGAGCCCGGCCTTGAACACCCTAAGGACCGTCGCAACAAAGCACGTCCCAGCGACGCTGGGGCACCACGTAGAGGCTGCGGGCATAGGCACTGACTGCATTCACTCTGCTAATCATTGTTTCCAGTGCTCTGCATTCCTTAAGTCATTTAATATTTGTGATAAATCATTTTACAATTGAGGGAATTAAGACACAAAGCGGCTGACAAGCTTTCAAGAACACGCTATTAGAAAGCCCACTAAGGATTCAAACCCCAACATCTGGCGTCAAAGCGCTTGCTTTTAAAGGGGGAGTTCTGGGGGCGCCTGGGTGGCGCAGTCGGTTAAGCGTCCGACTTCAGCCAGGTCACGATCTTGCGGTCCGTGAATTCGAGCCCCGCGTCGGGCTCTGGGCCGATGGCTCGGAGCCTGGAGCCTGTTTCCGATTCTGTGTCTCCCTCTCTCTCTGCCCCTCCCCC